AAACCAATAGAAGAACTGAAACTGGGTAGGTATCGCAGGTTTGTGGCACTCTAAAAACACCATCTATTTTCAATTATCTTAAGCCCATTTACCTACAATGTATCCTGCTAATTTTTTAAAATGTCTTTATTGATTTCAGAGAAAGGGAGAGAGAGAGAGAGAAACATCAATGATGAAAGAGTTGTCATTGATCGGCTGCCTCCTGCACGCCCCCGACTGGGGATCGAGCCTGCAACCCGGGCACGTGCCCTGCCCGGGAATCGAACTGCGATCTCCTGGATCCTAGGTCGATGCTCAAGCACTGAGCCACGCCCGGCCGGGCATCCTGCTAATTTTAAACAAGGCTGATCCCATAGGTACTGGTGTTATGACACCAGTTATTAAAACACTGAAAAACAGATTGGCAAACAGCTGCTGCCCTAAATTCTTGGGGTTCCGCCTCCCCCTCACTTTTCGTTCCCCTCCCTCAGGACCACCCCCTGTCCCACTTCCCAGAATCCAGCAACTCAAAGGTTATTTGCTCAGTGCAGCAGGGGCCCGGATCGGTTCCAACTGCTGGGTACCCACGCTATGCAGGTTGTCAATTGTGACCATTGATTTTAAGTCATTTAAATCTCAGGAAAGCAGCTTGCCCCAAGGCTCTCTGCTTGTCGTATTTAGTTAGAACAGTACACGTTGTTTTAATTTAACAAAAACTCATATTGTGGCACTGTCCTAAGAACTTTACAAACTTAATTCTTTTCATCCTTATAACAACCCTATAGATTGGTGATATTACGTTCTCCCATTTTATAGACGTAGGAATTGAGGCACAGAGAAGTTATTATCAAGGTCACCCAGATAATAAGTGGGGAGCTGAGGTTCTCAGCCAGTCTGGCTACAGAACGTTGCTCTCGACCATAGGCAATCTAGCCATAAAGTAGTAAGTTAGGGTTTTTTGTTTGTTTGATTGGTTGTTTGCCAAACTTAGATTCACAAAGTAGACTCTAGCACTCCTCTCTACCTTTCCCTTCCACCAAATTTACACCTGGGGAAGCAGAGGCCCAGGGGGGAAGAGACCCTCCTAAGGTCATAAAATCAGTTGGAGACAGAGCAGGAGCAGAATGCTGCCTTGTGCCTCCCTCCTGACCTCTGACCACATCTCATACCACACCTCATCCAGCTGTATGTCCACCCAGAAATCAGTTTGAGAAATGTGGCGGTTTTAAGAAATGTCCACAAATTGTTTAATATTTCTCCCTTCAACAGGTAGAGCCTTATTTGCCTCCTCTTGAGTGTGGGCTGGACTTAGAGCCTCGCTTCTAATGAAAAGAATAAAACAGAAGTGATGGGAGACTAGGTCATAAAAGGCATGCCAAGTCTGTCTGTCTGTCTCTCTCTCTCTCACTGATTGATCTGGGGGAAGTCAGCTGCCATGAGTGACCTTGAAAAAGTTACTTAACCTCTCTGTGACTCAGTATTCCACATCCAAAAAGTTGGGGGGGAGGATAGTACTTACCTCCTATGACTTGTGAGAATTCAGTGGGTTAACTCATATACTTGGCACATAGGAGGTGGTTAATTCATGTACTTGGCACATAGTAAGTGATATATACCAAGAATGCTGGAAACAGTTGTGCAAATTGTTCACTGTTCGAGAGCCTCCACCTTAGCAGGCAGACAGGTTTGGCCTGGGATTGCCTACCAAGAGGTGGCACTGTTTTCTAATTTGTACCAGGGCTATGTGTGAGCCACCAACTGTCCTCCCATAACGTTCATTGTCAGCACAAGGAAGCTGAGTGTTCAGTAAATGCGACCTTAGCATTCTTCTTAGGCTTTGGGCGGTCAGCTGAGCTGATGTTGGCTGCATTACAACTGTACTTGGTGGCTTTGTGGAGTTTTCCAGAATAACCTCAGTGGGATGCCTCACTGGGATACTTTGCCTGACCATTCAACTACTATGAAATAATAATAGAAGTTAAATGTAAAAATATTGACAGTGTAAGAAGTTTAAAACCATGCATGGCGACACTGCGTATTGTTTGGGTATACATATAAATACGTTCAAGCACAGAGAAATGATTAAGAATGATAGGGGACAAAATTCTGGAAAATAGTTACCCGGGGGGTGGGAATACGGAATGGGATTAGAAAGGACGTGCAGGGGCCTTCGGCTCTATTCATAATTTATTTATTAAGCTTAATGGTAAATACATAGTGTTTATTCCTTAATCTTAAATACTTAAAAATAATTTTAATAATATCATTGAAAGAGACCATCGTTCTATGTGAGCCAACTTTTTATTTCTCTCCTCATTAGTCTCTGTTAAATGTTAAATAAGTATATTGATGTGAAACAACAGAATCATGCAATCATTCATTCAACAAGTATTTACTGTTGAATGATAGATTGTTCAAAGAGAAAGAACTTCATGTGGACATTATAACACTTATAATAACCTATTTGGTTAGTTAGCTACTTTCCCTTCTTTCTGTGAAGGCAGGATCTCTTATTTATAATTATGACTTCTACTACATAATAGGTGTTAATAACTGTTAAACTTAATAAAACATAGATGTGACAGTTTTTATCCTTATACAGCTTTCAATATACTATGGGTGAGAAAAGATATAGGACATTATAGGTCGTAATAAGTGCCGTAAGTTATGAGCAAAGTTGTATGGTAATTCATTTATTTATTCACTTGACAACTCTTTGTTAGGCATTTACTAGGTACTGGGCATATATCCGAAAACAAGAGAGAGACAGTCTTTGGTTTTTTTATGTGGCCACTCTCACCACCTTCATCACCACCTCACTGGTCTACACCACCAACATCTTTTACTTGGATTATTGCAATAATTCAATGCTGTAATCCTGACTGGCCTCCCTACTTCCACTCTGCTCCCCTTCAGTAAAATCTCAACTGCATTCAGAGAGATCCTGTTAAAACCCAAGTCAGAGCTCATCACTCCTCTGTTCTAAAACCAACAATGGCTTCTCATCTGCAGGAGATTACAGAAATGGCCACAATTCTTTAAACAATTCCTCCTATCAAGAGGCGAAGGCTATTACTCAATCCACTGCGTCTGGGCTGGCCTTGTGATTGTCTTTGTCCAATAGAATGTGGCAGAAGGACCGTGTGCAGAGTCTGAGCCTGGGCCTCAGGGGGCTTTGCACGCTCTTGCTCTTGCTCTTACTTTTGGGATCCTTGCAGCTGCCATGGAAACAAGGCCAGGCAAACCTGTTGGGGGAGGACAGACCTCATGGAGCAGAACCATCCCAAACAAGACCATTCTAGATAAGCCAATTATCAGCTAACCTTAGCTGGCTGAGGACACATGATGGAGTCCAGCTAAGATCAGCCTAGCCCAACCTCTACCAGAAGAACCTTCCAGATGACCTCCAGACTCACGAGCTAAATAAATGGTTGTTGTTTTAAGCCGTTGAAATTTCTTTTGGGTTGTTAGGCAGCAAAAGCTAAACTGATTCACCATCTCGTTCTGAGAAAAAGTCAACTACTAACTGTATTCCCAGTACTTAGAATATCGCCCAATACATGGTAAGTGCTCAATAAACATTTGCCGGATGAAATTCGTAAATGGAGTTCACATTTAATGAGGGAAATTAAAAAAAACAAACATTAGGTAAATAAACTAGTAAAATAATTATTAAATTTGATGGGTGCTCTGAAGGAAATAGTGGCTGAGGTAGAGCCTCACAGAGTAGAAGTGGGAGGGGGGTCCTCCAGGGGTCCCCATTTCTCTCAGAACAAAAGCCAAATCTTTCCAGTGGCCTCCAAAGCCCTCCATGATACCTCGCCGACTTCATCTCCTGCCATTCACTGCCTCTCTGCTCCACCTATCTGGCCTCCCTGTTGTTCCTCTAACTCAACAAACACGCTCCCATTTCACGTTCTCTTTTTTTTTTTTAATATATCTTTGTTGAGTTCAGAGAGAGGAAGGGAGAGGGAGAGAGAGAGAGAAACATCAATGATGAGAGTCATTGATCCACTGCCTCCTGAACGCCCCCAACTGGGGATCGAACCCGCAACCTGGGCATGTGCCCTGACCAGCAGATTCCCAACTGCTGAGCCACGACCGGCCAGGCTCATTTCAGGTTCTTGGTGGAATGTTCTTTTGCTAGACACCCCCACCATTCACTCCCTTTCTTCCTTTGGGTCTCTAGTCAGATGACCCCTTTCAGTAGGACCTTCATGATCACACTGTAGAAACAGCAACCCACTGACCCACAGATCTACTAAGTGGTCAAGCCAGATTTCTAATCATGGTTGATTTGACTCTGAGTACAGTGCTCATTTCATTATATGTTTTTGGTTTTTTTTACTGTGTCTGCATTCTGGGCTCTGACCTGGTGACTTCTTGACTCATTAAGTTTCAAAGCCAACCTTGAGCTCTTGAAAGGCCCTCAACCTGAGAGGCACCTTTTCTCTAAAGAGAGCACCCTGCCAAGAGGCACAGGGGCTGAGTAAACCTTTAGGGCATCAGTTCTAGGGCCTCCCCAGTGGCTTCAGGTGGACCACAGCCTCTTCTGTATGATAGTCAGGAAGGAACCGTGTCCGGGGGCCTCTCCATCCCCAGCCCACCCCAAGGCCGGCTGACTGCAAGGGCAGAGAGGACGGGTGGGCAGCTGCTTTGAGGCAAAACCCAGAAAGAAATCCCAGTCTCACTGGTTTATTTTGGTTTAAAAACCGAGTCGGGTGACAATGGAAACTCCTTCCCTGCTCCCCTCTCCTTTCTGCTCATGTTGACAGTAGCCGGACTTGCTAATTCGGGCTGGGGTTTTTCCCTCCCTGGGCTGTTTTTCTCTTTTATCTTCATCGATTGATGAGAGCTGTGCTGCCTCTTCAAACTGTCGGAAGGTATTTGGGGTTTTGTGTATTTTTTTCTTTCTTTCACATAATTCTGTGGGTCTTTTCCCAGATATGTATTTTATCTTAAATTAACTTCTAACTCAAGTTTCCGCCCATGTGACTTCCAGCGTGAGTTACCAGAAACCACAAGAGAGAGAGAGAGCGTGAGAGCCCCAAAGCTAGCGACATGTCCCTGTGGGGAGCAGAGCCTCTGCACCCCAGAGTGAGGAGAACGCAGGGGTCAGAGGTGGCTGCAGGGCGCGCAGAGGAGGGACCTGCCGAGGGGGTGGGCTGGCGGCCTGGTGGCCTGGGAACAGTCAGGAAGGGAAGGCAGCTGGTGACAAGAGAGCCCAGAGGCACCTGGGGCTGCGTGGAGAGCCCGGAAGCCTGCAGCCATGCCGCACAGCTCCGACAGCAGCGACTCGAGCTTCAGCCGCTCTCCTCCCCCTGGCAAGCAGGTAGAGTCCCCCTTCCCTCCGCGTCCCTCCGGGCCGTCCTGGGGCGCAAGAGGGGCAGGCTCCTGCCCTGCCCAGGGAGCAGAGAGGGGTGCCTGGGGGCGCCAGGGCTCAGTTCGACGTGAGACTTGGTATTTGCAATCCAGCTGAGCCTGCTGGCAGGGACCCCCGTCCTCCCCCCATCCCGCCGGAGCCCCCTTTCCTCTGCGGCCCCCGCGCTGCCCTGGCCTCCGCCTCGCCTGGATTCCCACCTGCGAGGCTTTCGAGGAAGCCAAGGCGAGGAGAACATCAAAGGCTCTGGTCTCTCGGAGGCAAGGCTCTAGGTTTCTCCAAGGCAGTGGGAACGCAGAGGAGGAGCCTCGGAGGGGGCTGCGGGCGTGCACCACGGCCCGGAGCCCCGAGATGTGGCGCCCCAGGAGCCGGCCACCAGGGCCAGAGGGAAGGGGGCCGGGGAAGTAAAGGGATGAAAGGAAAAGCAGTTAGAAGGGAGAAGAACCCAGGCAGCACAGATGGCAGCACAGAGGGCTCTGTCTCGTCCGCTGGGGCACTGCCCCTGGTCCTAGCACAGCCAGCGGAGAGGGATGCTGGCTGCCACCTACACCTCTTCCCCCTGTGGCTTCTGGACCAGGGAAGGAAATCAGCTGGGAGGTCAATTTGGAGACTTGGAGACATTTGCTAGCAGCTCAGCTCGGCTCTGGGGAAAACCAGAGAGATTGGGGTAGAGATTCTGGGAGCATTTGGAGTCTAGATTGCAACTTCAAAGTCCAAAGTTTTCAGCTTGGGAGTTGCCAAAAAATGGGGCACCTGCCTGCCTCGCAGTTGGTGGGGCATTCCCTTTCCCACATTTCTTGACATCCATCTCTACAGGAAGGCTTCTTTCTCTTCCAGTACATCGGTGGATTAAAATTTCTTCCATTCTTTTCTTAGCATAGATATCCAAAGAGGGCTTTCAAAGTGCGGCTGCCAAACATGTATATAAACATGTGATATAACATCGGTCATAAATTAACAGAAGAGGAGCAGGTTGGGAGAAGTCCCAGTGGAGACCCCTAGAGGGCAAACAATCCAGTCCTCTGCTCAAGATGGTATCAGGGTGGCTCAGATTGCCTGGAAGTCTGTAGGCTTCTTAGGAAGGAAATTACTCATGGCTTCCATGGTAACGTGGTCCCCATCCCCCTTAGAGGAAGAGCATTTCCTTCCTATCTAACCCAATGCCCTCCTACTGCAATGGCTGGAAGTGTTGGGCAAATTAGTGAGACAAATGCCTGGTGAGCAGAGTTTTGCCCTAGGAACTGTGCACCTCCAGCCTGTGGGGAGGTGCAGAAGGGTTTCACTCAGACTCGTGCATTTATCCTGCAGTCTCTAGGGGGAAGCTGGAGCTAACCTCTCTGCCCAAGCAGAGGACAAGCTCATCTGTGAGATGTACTTAGAGAACACCCAAGGTCCCTTGTCCTCCTAAGTACCCATTCACTACCTGCCGCAGCCAGGTAATCTTCACCATTAAAGCCAGTCTTGACTCTAAGTTGAGCTCAGGGTCATGGGGAATGTCAAGGTCACTGAGCATAATGAAGGGAATGCGGGGAAAGAAGAGACAGATCTGGGATGGGGGCTTCAGCCCAGGAATGCAGCAGAAGGCACACGGGGTACAAGCCAGTGAGGCTGGGGGTGGGGCTCAGAAAGCATCAGACTTGGCATTGGAAGATGTAACTCCCCAATTACTGGGAGCATATGGGCAAGCTCTTTGAGCCTCAGTTTCCTCACATAAAAGATGGAGATAATAACATCAACTTTACAGAATTGGGGAAATAAATAAGAGTGCCTCTGAAAGGGCACTTGTACAGAAGCTGGCACATAGTAAGTGCTCAAAATTTTTGAAAAAAATAGCAAGAAGGTTCTAGGTCAAAGAGTGAGAAAGTAAGGGTGGAACAGCCCCAAAAAGAAGGAGTGATAAAACACACTTCATCGCCTTGACCATTTCCTTCCCAATATAGCTCTATTGAGGCCTCAAGGTCTTCGCCCTCTTCCTGTAACTTTTGGCCAAAAAAGTTATAGAGACCTAAGGGAGTGTAACAGGGTGTGGGAAAGAGTTCCGTTTTGGAGTCAGCCTTCTGGTAAATAGGGGGTGGACAGGCAAATGAAAAGATGAAGGAATGGAAGGATGGACGGATGGACACCAAACAGCACGAGGGCCTGCTCTAGCTCCAAAGAGAGGAGCAGATGTGCCTAATGCTCATGGTCTCTGCTTCCCAGGACTCATCTGACGACGTGAGGAAAGTTCAGAGGAGAGAGAAAAATCGCATTGCTGCCCAGAAGAGCAGGCAGAGGCAGACGCAGAAAGCAGACACCCTGCACTTGGTGAGTGTTCGGACCTTTCTCCACCCTCTTGGGCCTTTGGCTTTGCTCCCAACCACGGTGGATGCTGAGAGCACAGCTCAGAGGGTGGGTGGGGGTGAGGGCTGCGGGGCGAGGT